CCAGCAGAGCAGCAGGGTCGGACGGAAGATGGAGACCGCGATGTCTATGGTCCACCTCCGCTCCGTCCCCGTCTCCCCTCCGGGGAGAGGCCGGGAAGCTCTTATAAGCGGCCGCGGAGCCGCCCGCGCCCTGCCCTCCCGCCCAGGCGCCCTCCCCTCTCACCCAGGCGCGAAGCGTGCCGCCCCGTGAAGACCCGACCACCCCTCCGCCTGCTCCGTGAGTCCTCCGGTAATTACATGGCGAACTCAAAGCCGCCTGTGATGCGTTTCCCTGGCGACGTGCTTGGGGGCTAGTGGGCTGCGAGTGAGCTGTTGGGGAGGTTGGGGGGTGGGGCGGGGTGACAGTGTCCATGGGGCCGGGGGTGGAGGCGCAAAACCCGCCACCCGCCTCAGAACTGCACCTGCAGGGAGCCCCCAGGACCATGCATTTGCTCGTAGTTAGGGTCTGTTTTTTTTAGAGTGGAAATTGCTTTTTAATTTTTTTACCTTTTATTTTATTTTTGATTTGCCAATTCAGTTCACGTTCAATATTATATTAGTTTCCGGTGTACAGCACAGTGGTCAGATATATAATTTACAAAGTGATGCCCCACCTGGCACCATACACATGCCCTGTGCTGCACTTCACACCCCGGAGTCTGGGTCCTTTTTCGGGAGGGGAAATTTTAGTTTGTTTATTAATTTTTTCTTATTGCTTTTGTTTCTCTCTCTAAAAGGAATACCTAGTCAGTATAGGAAGGTGTAGCTTTTGGACGTACCGAGAATAAAGGGGATGCCTGTGACTCCGATGGCAATGTCTTCGTGAACATCCTTGCGGATGGATGCACTGTGTACATACGTAGAGAAGTACCTGTGTGTAATTTTACTTGTCACGTATTCTCTACTTTATTTAAGCTCAATGGAACAGCACATGCATCTTCCCGTGTTCATGAAGATCGGTGTTTATCATCCCAGGTAATGGCAACATGGGGTCTGTTCCACGGGTTCAGGGATTTTTTTCTAATCCTCACCTGAAGATGGATATCCTAAATAATAAAAGGGTAATATGCAAATTGACCCTAACTTGGAATGACCAGGAACAACCGGTCACTATGATGTGCACTGACCACCAGGAGGCAGATAGGCACCGGGAATATAGCTATGAACAGAATAGCACTCCCATCAGAGACAGCTCCACTCAGACACAAGCCGGGCTGATGTCTGTGAGCCCAGTGGCAGTGGTGGGAGCCTCTCCCACCTCCGCGGCAGCGTTAAGGCTGTCCAACTGCGGCTTAGGCCCATCAGTTGGACATCCCCGAGGGCCCCCAGGCTGCCAGAGGGATGTCTGACTGCCAGCATGGGTCGATCCCCCAAAGAGTGGGCCTAAGCTGGCAGGTGGACATCCCCCAAGGGCTCCCAGACTGCGAGAGAGCGTAGGCCGGGTTGAGGGACCCCCCGCCCCCCACCCAGTGCCGAATTTTTGTGCACAGGGCCTCTAGTATGTGTGTGTGTGTGTGTGTGTGTGTGTATTTAATTGATTTTCAGAGAGGGAGAGAGAGAAACCATCAGTGATGAGAGAATCATGGGTTGGCTGCTTCCAGCACGCTCCCTACTGGGGATCAAACATGCCTGTGCCCTGACCTGGAATCGAACCATGTCCTCCTGGTTCATAGGTTGACACTCAAGCACTGAGCCACACCTGCTGGGCTGTTTTTATTTTTAATTTTTATTGATTTTAGAGAGAGAGAGGAAGGGGAGAGAGAAGCATCAATGTGAGGGAGAAACACGGATGGCTGCACAGTTTCACTGTGTAGTGTGGCTAAAACAGCATCGTCTTGGGTGTGAGGGCGTTGTTGATTCCCCACTTAACTGGGTTTTCTTTCCTTTTTATTAAATTGAAATCTCAAACTATGTTTCAATTAGAAGACAAACCCTAAATGTTTTTTCCGGGGGAAACAGACACCCGAAAAGGTGCAAGTCTTAGGACATAATTATCCAAAACGTGACCTAGATGTTCTGTCTGCTGGGGGCTGGAACTCTGGCCGCGGAACAGAACTGAGAACCCTGGGCCGGAGAGCGGCTCCTGAGCTGATGTCACACAGCCTGTGTCCTGAGGGGTCTGACTGAGTCAGGTAGGGCCCGTGGAGTCGAGTGCTCTGGCCGAGGACCGCTCCTGAGAGTTAGGTCGAAGCACTTGCCGACAGCTGGGCCGGTGCCGGCCGTCAGACCCCTGCCCGGGATCAGAGGTGGGAGGCGGCTCCCACCGAGGGCCCTGTTCTCTAGTTAACGTGTCCTCTTTCTCGCTGTCCCGTGCAGTTGGCCTCATGCGGGTCCGGACGGCTGGACGCAGGGACGTGTGCCTACCAGTCGGGTGGTCTGCTTGTCTCTGGGGGTGCCTTTCGCCCCAGCACTGCCCAGCCTCTGCGTGGACTGGCTTCCGGGCTCAGAGTGTTTGATTACCCGGAGTGCGTGTTCCAGGTAAATCGGATTTTGAGGAAATCAGTTGGATTTAGGAGGAAAAGTGGCAGAGGAAGCTGTGTGCCCTACACAGTGAGGGAAAGGGCTCCTGGAGAAACTGGCTCCTGGTCTGTGCAGGACACTTGCTGTCCCTGAGCCTGGGGGAGGGTTTGGCTGGAAGCTTCTAGAATCTCCTTAAACGCTGAGGTGGCATGACGCAGGTGCCAGTGGGGGGATTGAAATCTTTTTCCCTCTAATATGTATTATTTACAAAGTAGGTTTCCATATTCTCAGCAGTGCACAACATAGCATTTTGGAAAAAGACATTCCCTTGCTTATTCCCACGGAAGATGGTTAAGCCTGATGCACAGTGAGGGGTCACCTCTGACTCGGAAAAGGAGCACATTTCAGGATTTGGGAGTGAAGCCATTTGCTCATGTGCGGCCTGTTTGTTACTCGCCGCTAGCGGCCCGTTACTGCTTGCGAGAGGGAGAGAAAGCCCTTCCCACCATCTGTCCTGATTTCCTTCCTTCCGACTGCATTTCAGTCCCTTTTCATCCGTGAATAAACCCTTTACCCCCATGTGGCTGAGGCCCTGGGCCTCCCTGGGAGACGGTCCGTGTTTTACAGGCACAGGCCTGCGGGTGGGGTTCACGCTTCCTCCATGAAGCATCCTGGGGCTGTGCCTGGCTGGAGGAGGGGGACGGCGGGGGAGGGGACCCACAGTCACTGCCCTGCACGTCTCTGCCCAGAAACATGTTCGGCTTTGAGGGCATGGCTGACAAGGTGGACGTGGAGGTCATGATTGCCATCGGTGGCGGCTTATTGATCGCCTCGTTTTTCCTCATGTGCTGCTTCCTCTGTCTCTACTGCAAGCTGGCCAGCGCCTTGAGGTGAGTGCCGTGGGTAAGCGTGAGAACACCCCTCGCACGGGACACCTGGGGCTGCACCCTCCGTGAGGTCGGGAACAGCGGGAAAGCTTAACACATTTCGTACCGCTCAGGAGTTTTCTCGTGTTTCACGCGCCATCTGTTAAGGACCGCTCACGAGTGTTCTCGCTTTTCACGCCCATGGAAAAAGGAGCGAATCTAGATACTTATGTAAATTTTGTTTGGTCCCTCTTCGTAGAGGAAAATGTTTTACGCAGTACCATACGTTAAAAAAGTAATAGGAACTTTGTTTGTTTTTGTAAATAAAAATAATTATTGAAAAACAACACCTAAAGCGCATTATGATGATTTAAATAACGTGCAGTTTGCCCAAAAACGTGTGGTCCCTGGCGTATGTCTTAGAGATTTCTATGCGGTACGCAATGTGTTAAAAAGTCAAAGGCCGGGCAGCTCAGTGGTTGAGCGTCAACTTCCCCTCCCTCTCCCTCTCCCTCTCCCTCTCTGAAGTCAATAAAAACATATCTTAATCCTGGCCGCTCCCCCTCGGGGCTGAGCTCACAGTGAGGCTCCCGGCAGGTGGCCGGGTCAGCGCTATCTGCTGTCCGAAGCCTCGGGGGGCTGCCCCTCCCCGGGGACTCTCACCCTGGCCGGCCCTGAGGCCGAGGGGCAGCCGTGTGCAGAGCCTCTGCCTCGGGTCCCCCAGAGGCGGCTCCGGCGGCCTCCCCTGCCCCAGCTGGGAGTCGGCGGTGAGAAACAGGCTGTACGATGAACCTAACTTGTGCTTTTTATCAAATCTCTGAAGGAAACTATGACGATCAGCGGCATCCACCGCAGAGGCAGGCGGCTGGGTGTGGAAGCTGAGAGGCTGCCTCCCCCAAGGACGGACGGACGGAGCCCGGAGCGCGCTGCTGCGGAGACTGTCCTGAGAGGTGGGCCCCCGCGTCCCCCCACGGGCTGTCCTGTGAAGTACAGACGTCCATGCGGAGCTCAGCTGCCTCCTGACTGTTCTTTCCAGGTGGTTGGCCCTGCGGGCAGGAGCTGTGCTGTCCCTGGTCCCCAGGCACCTAGC